TCCGTGTCTCCCCGCCACCTGCTGCTGCCACCATGACCACCACCATCCGCCACTTCTCCTCCGGCTCCATCAAGGGCGCCTCCGGCCTGGCAGGCGGCTCGTCCCGCTCCTGCCGGGTGTCTGGCAGCCTGGGCGGTGGCTCCTGCAGGCTGGGGTCTGCCGGCGGCCTGGGCAGTGGCCTTGGAGGCAGCAGCTACTCTAGCTGTTACAGCTTTAGCTCTGGCGGTGGCTATGGCAGCGGTGGTTATGTCAGCGGTGGCTATGGTGGCGGCTTTGGAGGTGTCGACGGGCTGCTGGTGGGAGGCGAGAAAGCCACCATGCAGAACCTCAACGACCGCCTGGCCTCCTACCTGGACAAGGTGCGCGCCCTGGAGGAGGCCAACACGGAGCTGGAGCTGAAGATCCGTGATTGGTACCAGAAGCAGGCCCCAGGGCCGGCTCCTGACTACAGCTCCTACTTCAAGACCATCGAGGATCTGCGGAACAAGGTAGGAGCTGTGATGGGAGGGGTCCTGGGTGGGGCACAGCTTTTCCTCCACTGCCATCTGCCCTTGCTCAAGGCCTGGAGCCCAGCCTGGGGGCTGCCACAGGGTCTTGGGGAGCCAAGGACAGCTTGGCTCCAGCTTGACCTCTGGGAGCCCACCTTGGGGCCACTATGTGGCTTACGATGTCTTTTTCAGGACAGTAGCCTGGGCTAGGGACAAGTAGGTCTTGTGGGGCTCCCTGGAGCCTGTTTCCCATCATGGAGCTTTTTGCCACCTTGTATGGTTGTAGGATAAGAGGGCTGGAGGCATGAGGAGGGCTGGGCTCCTGGGGCTGCCGGATACTCAGACATAGCTTTCCTTGGAACAAGAGGGGGATTTAGGGCTAAGGTGGTGTCAGGGGTCTGGTGAGCTCCTGCTGGCACCTGCTGGGAGGAGGAGGCAGGAGAGAGCGGGTGGGACCTCAGGAGCCCACTTCTATGCCTTATTTGGGGATTTTTCTGGCTTCTCCATCTCTCCTGCTGCGCCCTCAAGACAGGCTCCGCAAACTTGGGGCAGGGCTGCCTGCTGGAGTTTAGGGGCAGGGCTTAGCAGAGGTCACGACTTCTGATTTGGAATTACACTTTGGTGAGGGCTCCTTTAGTTTTCCTCTTGCGGGAAACCTCTCAGGGGCACCGTATCCCCAGTTGTAATAAGAGGGAGTTTCTCACATCCATCCTCTTTCCAGGATTCAGGAAGAGTTTCTGCCTGGGGCATCCTCCTATTCTTTTCTGGCTCTCGTGCATTCCAAGGCTGGCACTCCCAGCTGGCTGTCTGCTTTACTTTAAGGCAGAGTCTGGCAAGGGGGTTCTGTGGGGGGGAGGAGGCAAGTCTGGGAGAGGAGGGGAGTATCAGCCATCAGACTCCTGCTGGCCCTGCCTCTGTCACCAACTGTTGAGCAGTAAAGCTGGGAGACAGGGTGGTAAGGGAGCCTTCCCGGAGAAGGTAGTCACATCCTGGCCCCCAGATGGAGAGTCTCATCTCAGAATCCTGGTCTGGGCTGAGTTGCTCCCACCCAGGAACCTGATCACTTTCCCATCTTCCCAGATCCTCACGGCCACCGTGGACAATGCCAACATCCTGCTTCAGATCGATAATGCCCGCCTGGCTGCTGATGACTTCCGCACCAAGTGAGCCCTGACCAGGGTCTGGGGAGAAATTGGGGGCAGCCCTCCTTACTGAGGAGCCCAGGCCTCCTCAGTGGCTGATGGCAAGGTCCAGAATCTAGGGGTTAATGAGTTCACCTCTTAGCCCAGGATGCCGCAAAAGCAGCAAATTCTGAAGGTCACTGGGCTTAGTCAGGTGATGGAAGAGAGAGAGGGGAGGCAGGAGGCAGAGAGGAGAGGAGTCAGGAAGCCGGGTGGGGTGGGGCCTTGCACTGCGTGGTCCCAGGGCCCCAGGGCTGGGAATGGTTTCCACTCCACCCTCTCATTGGAAAAGACCCTGATGCTGGGAAAGATTTGAGGGCAGGAGGAGAAGGGGGCGACTGAGGATGAGATGGTTGGAAGTCATCACTGACTCAATGGATATGAATTTGAAGAAACTCCAGGAGATGGTGAAGGACAGGGAAGCCTGGTGTGCTGCAGTCCATGGGGTGGCAAAGAGTTGGACATGAATTAGCAACTGAACAAATACCCCCTCATCATTCAAGGGCAGGGTGCTGGCCAGAACCTGCACCAGCCAGTCCAAGCATCTTGACGGAAGTCTCTGGTTCCCTTTGCAGGTTTGAGACAGAGCAGGCCCTGCGTGTGAGCGTGGAGGCCGACATCAACGGCCTTCGCAGGGTCCTGGATGAGCTGACCCTGGCCAGAGCTGACCTGGAGATGCAGATCGAGAACCTCAAGGAGGAGCTGGCCTACCTCCGCAAGAATCACGAGGAGGTGAGGCAGCTGGGGCAGTAGGTCAAAGAGATGCTGAGGGGGTGGCAGGGCTCCATTGCTGTGCCAAGGCTGCGACTGGGATGAGAAGTCCTACTGTGTAGCAGATTCTGAAGTTCGCTGGGCTTAGTTAGGTGATGGAAGAGAGGGAGGGGAGGCAGGAGGCAGAGAGAGGAGTCAGGAAGATGGGCAGGGGTGGGGCCTTGCCTTCCAAGGTCTCAGGGCCCCACGACTGGGATTGGCTTTCATTCCACCCCCCTCATCATTGGAAGGCAGGGTGCTGCCCAGGTGTCTAGGTTGGTTAGCTTAGAGCATTGCCCTGTCTGCAGAGCCCAGTTACCCATGCAGGGCAGCCTTCTCCATGTACCACCCTGCTTCCCTGCATCTGGGGAGTCTCCCAGGGGCCCACAGAAACCTCTTATGCCCATCCTGGCCTCCCTCACCAGACTGGAGATAATTGAGGAGGATTCCCAGCTCAAACCCTCCAATCTGGACCCTAGGTAGAAATATGGAATTAGATGGGAGGTTTTGGGGGCTCAGGCCTAAGATTTAATTTTCAGAGAGCCCTCAGTCTAGTGGGGGAGCACAGAATCTATCCTGGGGGAACCCCTAGTCTGATATTGGAGGCAAAGCCCACACAGACCAGGTGAACAAAAGTTATGTGGAGGATCAGAGGGTAGAGGGGGAGCAGAACAAAGGAGATGTTGTGGGAGGGGTCTGGAGAGCTTGCGTGGGAAGGTTGGGAGTGAGAGGTCAGCGTGGGGGATGCCCACACCCACCACCCCCTCCTCCACAGGAGATGAAAGCCCTGCGAGGCCAGGTGGGTGGCGAGATCAACGTGGAGATGGATGCCGCACCCGGCGTGGACCTGAGCCGCATCCTGAACGAGATGCGCGACCAGTACGAGAAGATGGCGGAGAAGAACCGCAAGGATGCCGAGGACTGGTTCTTCAGCAAGGTGGGGGCTGCCGCAGACCAGAGGTCTCTC